GTGTGTTGTGAGTGCTAGAGTGCTAGAAGAGTGCTACTATGTGCGACTATGGTGTTGTGAAATAACAATCAGCTTCAAGCGCAATACGCGTGTCCGATAAGGCACACTATTTATTCGGTCGACCCAGCGGCAAGGTCTCACTCATTGCTGGCGGAACACCCGCAGCGGTGATTTTGAACCTTACGGTGTCCGATGTAAAATGCCTTCATCCGTGCGCGGCGGGTGCGATCACGTGCACGCGATGTCAATGCCGGAACACTATTGGCTGGCATTGTTAATCGCTCACCGGCCGATATGATGTTTTTTGTTCAAATCACCCTTGCAGGGGCATTACTAACCGCGGGCGGCCTGCCCGTAGCGTGACAGACCAAACACAGCAGCCCAGGCAAAAATAGCTATGATCACGCGGAAAAGAGCGGTTGTGTGCAGTTCATACCGCTTGCATAGGGCTATGAACCGCCAATACAACACACTAGTACGTTTCTGGTCTCCTTTTTAATTGGCTGACAGTCCGACGGCATCTCATTCTGTGCTGTCGCGGGTCGGCCTCAGCAGCAATTTGCAGTCACACCGTTCAGTTCAAAATATTTTTATGTGTATGCGTCGGGTGCTACCATGCGCACACAATGTCGTTGTGGGAGAGCTATGGCCCGGCATTACAAATCGCCTATCGGCCGACATGAACGCTGTTGTTCAAATCACCCGTTGACGGCTCATTGCTAAGTTCGGCCCGTCTGCTCGTAGAGAGGCAGTCATGGTACGGCTTGCTTTAAAATACTTACATTCGCGCATGAAGAGCGCGACTGTGTGCGGTCGATAGCGCTGGCATAGCGGTCTCATCTGTAAATGCAATACACTTATCTGGTCAGGAATTCTTCGTTATTCGGTCGACCCCGAGAGGGTCTCACTCAATCCTTTAGGGACTGCCGCAGCTACGTTTTACAAAGCTACATCGTCCAATTTTAAGGTTATTATAATCGTGCTCACCAGGTGCGACCGTGCCCACGACAGGTAATTGTCGGAGTATTATTGGCTGAACATGCAGATTGCTCATTGACTGGCATGTTATCTTGTTCCAATCATCGCTCAGAGACGTATTGTTAACTGCAGCTGATCTTCCCGTAGCATAATCAATAAAATGCGCCGGCCCGGGAAGAACACTTAACGTAGCGCGCGAGGAGACCGACCTTGTGCATTCGATAGCGCAAGTATTGGGCTATCATCCGTCAGTACAAGACACTTTCCGTTTCTAGTCTCCATTTTATCCGGTCGACACGCCCAAAGCAACTCACTCAATGTTGGAAGGTCGACCGCAGCGGCGATTTGAGAAGTTACGACGTGAAATTTAGGACACTTCGCCGCACGCGGTGGGCGCGACCATGTGCACATATTAATGCAGGAGTACTGTCGACGGCTTGCAACTCCCTATTCGGTCGACGTGATAGGAGCACGACCCGCAGGGCCCTGATTGTGACCTCCTACCTAAATTGCTTTAATACGACCTTCACTCGGGCCCTTCGTGCGCTCAAATCGGGCCCCTAATTGTCAGTCGTCTTTGTGCATGGCGCGAGCCTGGCTGCACCCGACACCACGGGGTAGTTGGTTCGTAAACCCGCCACCAGGCGGCGGGCACCAGGGCTGTAGGCTTCGCGGGCACTAGAGCCGATGCCGGCCGCTAGGTGTCTGAGTCCGCCACACAAGCCCGCGAAGCTGGCGGTTTGGTTGGCGAGATATTCAGAGACACATGCAGTTAACGGCAAAACGAAGCCTTTCGCGATAGCCGCCTGTGTTACAGGCAGCCTATAGCACAGTACCGTGTATGGGGTGATGGGGCGTGAGAGACTGACTACCCGGGATGCTCGCAATGTTCGTGCAATATTTATGAAGCCTGATGTCCGTGGTGAGTACTTTTATAAGCTTTGAACAGGTATAGTTTCACTTAACATTCCGGCTTAACCGCCTGCACTCCGTGCAGCCCTCAGCATTGTTACGTATATCTCAGTGGCGTAGCCGTGGGTGTCCATTCCTCAAAATGATTGGGGAGGGGGAGGGCAAAGTCCCGAAGTCGCCATAGGGGGATGGTGTAAAAAAACTCCTAGGATTCGTCTTCTTACGATCTGTGTTTCCAATATATATATATATATATATATATATATATATGTATATATGTGCATATTTATACATAACTTGATATAGCCTACAATATCTGCACGCTCTTTAAAGCTTATGTGCGTAGCCACCGGAATCGCATCTGGAAGCCTGCCGGTTTGCATGCAGCTTTTTACAAACACACCTGTTTTGTGAGGCTGAGAGGGTAAAGACGCACCTATATCTTTCATGGTCTTAAGTAAATCCGCACATAATTTACCTTTATTTGCACAGTGATTTTTGGCATTTTTATCTTTGCATGATTAAGAAGTGTTCACAACATGCGTGGTTATCGCAGCTCGTTTATGCGCAGGTTCTCGACATATGGAAGTTTCATCGATAAAACACACGCATTTCAGTTAACGTAAAACAAAACATAGACACTTCTCCATGCACCGGTTACGTAAATGGTCCTCGACCTTTCCCAACTGACTTAAATAGATGCCCTCCTGTCGAAAATGCCCTTCCCTGCTCATTTCACTACACACGCTTTAGGGAAAGCGACACAAACCCGCTTCAGTTCGAATGTGTGGGAAATGAAGCCCCGTAATGTCAATGTCATACGCCACAAAGCTTGAGTGTAAAAGGGTCGCTAGTTGTCCTGGCTCTTCAGTGCCCACATGCAATTATTTCTGTTAATTCTGCTAAGGAAATGGGTCCCAAAGTCTCGACGGACATGGAGCCGACTGTTCGGTGTTCATGGTCTCTGACCGACTTAGACCCCCGCATAGCCTCAGGGGCTCCTCAAACGGTACAAGAGGAATTGTGGCTAATATTTCACGTTACAACCCTACGGACCGCGATTCTTTATGTGACCTAAAGCTAGTCCTTCGGGCCCTTATGCCCTCCAACCTGACCTTTGAAGTCGATTCCATCGGGCCGGCCGGGCTGCTCTTCGGGCCTCATCGAACACTGCCTTTGGTCAGCTCGGGGCCTCTTGGGAGCACAGGCCCCTCTGCTAGGTGCTGTGGCCCAAGACAGATAGAGGGGCCCCGACCAGTGCAGATCACTGGCCTCGGCATTATGTCTAATTGGGAGGTGGGCCCTCAGGCCCATACCAACACGGAGCCAACTGTGCGGTACTGGTGATGCATGGCCGCATGTAGGCCCATGTCGACTCAGGGGGTCCCTGATCGGCGCAGAGAGCCCTCTGACGGTTACTTGACGGCCGTCTCCGTAGGCTGGGGCCTCTGAATAAGACTCCGACGAGCCCTTTGTGCCCCTAGACCACGGAATCGGGCCCTTGATCGTCAGATCCGGCGGGCCCTCTAGGCTCTTCGGCCCTCCTCAATCACTACCTCTGGCCGACTCATGGCCCCTTGCCAACACAGGGCCCCTGCGAGACTCTGTGGGGCTCCGAGCAATGTAAATCACTGGCTACGGCTTTGTCCCCGCTTGGGAAATGGGCCCTCGGGCCTATGCGGCCACGGAGCCGACTGTACGTTGCTGGGGGTGTCTGACCGAAGTAAAGGCCCTTTTTGACTCAGTGGGCCCCTGATCAGCGCGCGAGGGCCCTCTGGCTGGCATTGGAGTGCCCGATCCTGCGGGGCGGGGTCCCTGAATGCGACCTCCAACCGGTCTTTCTGGCCCTTAATCGTAGGCTCCAAGAGGCCCGAAGGGCCCGCCGGAGCCTAAGGGGGGGGGAGGGGTACGTGTCCCCTGTGCCCCCCCTGCCTGTGCCACTGAAAGGCACACAATCTAGCACGGAACTATACACGTCACGCGACGTTTCAACCCCGTAAACCTTGCGAACCGAACAAGTTGCACACTAATCCTCTTGATAGGAAGCTCCTCGCACTGCAAACATCAGAGTACGTGCTCGCCACTTCGGTTGTGAAGCGTCTTCCCGCGCTTCTCGGTAATCGACAGTCGTTCACAGTCAAAGGTAAGCACAACGAGCAAGGGGCATGAGGATCTTCTCAGAAGGAAAATGGGAATTGTGCAATCCAACAAAAATGTCACTGTAAGACGTCGCTACGTAAAATACGTCCAGTGTGCAAGTCTGTACTCTATTACATTGCAGGAACCAAGAACTGGGAGTGAAAAACCTCGGAAAATCGATGTTTTTCTATAACGTTTTTAAAGTCTATTTTACCACACAGCAACACCGACTTAAAGCACATTGTGTGATGATAAAAATCACAGAGGGTATCACCTACGGGGAGAAGAAAGTATGTGCGGTGAAAAAAGCATTCATTGTTTCACACTACCCACTGGTATACGCCTCGTTTCAAATGCTGGAGTGGGCTGTGGTATACGGGCCTTTAATTTTAACAAGATAACCTATATCTGCTTTACGACATTGTTTTACCAGTAGCTACTAGTATACTGAAGGCGAGTTGTTGCCAGCATAAGAGCTCCAAAGTCATGATGCCGAAAAGCTAGAGCCTTACAGTTGTTTTTCATCTTGCTGACATCAAGGGACGTAACGTCTGTAACCGATAGGATGATTGACGTATGCGGTCTTTATGTACCAAATGCGATAATTTAGTAGCCTTTACTATTCTTTCCATTTTAAATGACTTTTGTAACGCAGATAAGACATTTACAAGTTGGTGGTAAGGCAGCCACTCATTGAGTTTTGTGATCTCTGAAGATACCGTCCTTTAATGACGTAATGAAAAAGAAAAATTACCTTGGTAAGTAGTTTTATACATATAGACCATTTTCTATCCAAAAATTAATAATAAAATAGCGATTATATCCTATTTTACTGTAAATAGGATATCTATTATAGCAAATTGTAATACTACAACACCTGCATGTTAATGTGTCTTCGTTACGACCGTTTCTACTAAGTGGTGGACGCCTACCCATTTCCTTGTTGTCATTTTATAAAGTTATATTCTTGAGGAACGTTGATTGCTGTGGTGAGGGATGTGGTGCCGTTGTATGGATGACAATATTATTGTAGCCTTCCCGTGACCGACGTTTCATTTTAGTTACAACATTAGTAAATCACTGAGAGCTTTTATCAACCCGGTAAGTGGTCGGCGCAGTAAGTGCCGGTTGTGGAGCTCGCTCCCACCATAATATGAACGAAATATGGGCGTATTTCGGGGTGCTGAGTTGAGGTTAATGGCATGGGCTGCGCTGTTCATGCGCTGCAGAAGTGTACCTGTGCATAGCCCACATAATATCCACTTTTCTTCTCGAAAACTTGGAAAACATTTATGCAGTCTTCCATTCCCTGGTAGGTAGGTACCTAATACATTTTTCAATCTGCTTAAACATGTGCCTAGTGGGATGATGCATGCTATTTTCGGCTACAGTTAATATGTAGACACTGTTGCTGGAGTAGGGTGCTAGAGGCATTATTCTGCTGTCTGTGTACTCTAAACTTGCAGCATATAGTGGAGGTCAACCAGTTGAAATGTGCCTGTGTTCACCATTGCATGTTGGGGAAACTGGAGGTACAGGGTTTAATTGCCTGCAGTACCTGCCATTCCTGCTAGGGTGAAAGGCAGGTACTGCCATATAGCCTCATTCAGCTGAGTGTGTTGCAAACCCTCAATGGTGACAAGTCAAGGGTCGGTAAGGCCGAACATGAGATTGAACAGAAGGATCATGTTCAAAATAAGCTTATCCATATGCATGTTACTCTGCTTAAGGGAAAGGTAATCATTTTGTTGTTCTGTTGTGTTCTCTTATTGTTGCTGCATATTTACTTTTCTTTGTATTTCTATTAACAAGTTGGAAATTATTGTAGACAACTGTTTATCAGTGACCAGCCATGATAAAAGAGTATCTGATAAAAAATAGGCTACTATGAAGGATGAGAAGAGATGATGCAACCTTTTATGGTGCATGGTACCAGGATCATGAATCAAGACCATGCATTGTGTGTGAGTTGAATAATGCACAGTTTTAGTATTCGAGTAATGTTCAAAGTCTTAGTTTCTATTCACATTGCTCCTCTAGCCTCCTCTGGCCTCAAACTAATATAATTATCCTAGTGACCTCATCAACCTCCCTTAAAGATGACCACTAACCTCCAACCTTATTCAAAATCGAGGGTGGTTTGTCACTTTTATAGCCTCACATTCATATTCATATTATTGCTTTATGTATTAACATTTTTTTGAAAACTCTTTCAGCAAGCTCAGTATACAAAGTTATTTTTCATCAGTGCACCTAACCTGTTCAGTTGAATTAGGTGCAGATAGCTGATGATTCCTCTAAAATCATTCCCATGGCATCATATTAAGGTTTTTCTAACTTGCAGACTTATCTCACCTTTTTTGGGGATGGGTGGGAACAGGCATATGGTGTAGTAATTAACCCAGCACATATGTAGCATGTACATATAGTGTTTCAGTATTCAGTCCCTTGGATGACAGGAATGCCAATATTTTGTTGAGCATCTAGGTTGCCTTGGACTTGGCAAATCAGGTAGGTGGGTGAGATGTGAAGGTTTTTTACCAAAGGCCAACATATTAGTGACCATTTGATAGAGCATTTGGAGGTTTCCAAAGATAAAATTCTGGTAGCATAAATTTATGTTTACTTCCTACATACATTACACCCATGGGATGCATTTCAGTATGCTATGCATTTTGAAGCACTTTACTGGTTGGTAAATGGGTTATGCTCCTTAAAGCCAAACATTCCTGCCACACAGTGCACTGTGTAAGACTATCAATGCACTAGCAATTTTGCATGTCAGGTACTATGTGCAAGCGTGTAAATTTGCTGGCAGTACAGGCATCTCAAAATTGCAGTCTTTAATTGGTCAAGGTCATGTCTAAACAATATAATCACAATTCCAATTTGAATGGCTGGGATCTGTCAGACCAGTTAAGTGCTTTATGGTTTGTTCTGTATTTTGTATGTGCATGCTGCATGAGCAGCTTAAGATTGACAAAGTTGCAAACATAGTTAATTATGATATTGCACTTAATATGAAAGTGTTGTTTGTAGTATACACCAATCACTCAAAGTGCAGCTGGCCCTGCACTACAGTAAACATGCCATGGAAAGTAGCAATACATGCTGCACAATACTGCAGTAAATCCAGGAAGCTTGAACTTAAACTCATATATGCACCCCTGTTTACAGATTCCATCACTCTATCAGTGGATCTCAGCTCTTACTGAAGATGGATGCCTCAGGGTACCAAAAGAAGAAAAGAGTCCAGATTGTCTTTTCATCTGGTAAGTGGTTAGCTTGGACACATTCCGCTTGCATAAAGTAGGATGAAACATGTTATTTGTGCATCATGCACTCATACAAGATAAAGCCCTTTGAATTGCCAGATTAGCTATGAGCACTAGTTTGCATTCAATTTGCATCCCTCTTGGTAATGCATGTTAATGACAAGCCAAAGCTAATTAAATGTGCTACTTTTATGAATGGGTTTCATTCAGCTGCCCTTCTCCAGCTAGTCCCATCTTCTTGCTCACATCCCAGCACTTCTCATGCCTGACATATGCTCTGTAGAACTAGCTCAGCTAGAACTGGAACTAACAAGATATTCTCTAGTGTACACAACTGGATATTGTGGTAAGGATGTATGCTGATAATGACATGTTCTGGGGGGAAGATGGTCAAGCCAGGGTGCTGATTCTGCAGTGGTTAAGTGGTTCACATATGTGTACATTGTCATCATTTATGCATCATCAGTAACATGTCAGCTAATGCATTCTGGTTTACCACTGCATGTGTGGGAAACCAACGGTAGTGGTCGATTCCCGCAGTGTCTGCCCTTCCTGCCAGGGTGAGATGCAGGCGACCCCACATGTATAACCTCAGCAGCTGATTGAGTCATAAATCCACAATGATGACAGTCCAGGTCACCAGCTCAAGGGGCTAATGTATAAAAGGGCCCAAACAGCTGGAACATGGCCTGTGACATACAGACAGGCTGACCAGAGGACAGCAGGGACATGCATTGTGACACATGCTACTGATGGTTATGGCATGTCCATCACATCATTGGGCCACAAGGACTGTCTTTACATACATACATACAGAAAGATAAGGGCAGCTCCGTACTATGCAACATGGCGTGACTCAACATGGACAGGCTAAATGCATGGAGACTGCCACTGACAGATGCATGGGTTGGAATAGGTGATATATTGGGTGGGGAGAAGGATGAGCTGGACACGTAGACATGCGTGCATGAAATTTATGCATGTGTTGTCTATTTTTGTCATAGTTTAAGTAATGAATTACTGTGGTTTACTTGGCTACCTTGCTAACTTCCTGAGCATGCCAGTCATTTGCAATGAAGTCAATGGCATGAAAAGTCCCTGATTGGTTGCATACTTCACAGATGGTGGCTGGAGTGCAGGTCACAAAGGCCCTTCGAGAGAGAGCGAGGGCGAGAGGGCCCTTTGCGACGATCGGGGACCTCCTAAGTCAATGAGGGCCATGTGCCGGGCAGAAACCACCAACACCAAACAGTGTCGTGTCGGTCTGAACCCTGGGGGCCCATTTTCCAAGCAGAAGCGAAGCCGGGGCCCACAGTTTGCATTTGTCTGGGTCCCTGAAACAATCACGAGGGCCCCTGTGTCGGCCAAGACCCACAGTACCAAACGGGAGATCATGTGGCGGTACGTGGCATCGAGTCGGTTGCGGACTTTGTTCGAGGAGGCCCGAAGATAGGCCGAAAGTTCCCTCAGGACCAAATATCAATGGCCCGATTGGAAGACGGAACGGCCCGAAGAGCCTGAAGGACTGGCCGTAGGTCCATTAAAGGCGTCTGGCCGTGTCCTCGAATGTAAGTCGAAGCGCCTCTTGTATCGACTAAGGAAACAATGCTTCCATCTATTTCGACGAGAGATCGCCAACGCCAAAAGAAAGGCGGTCCGATGAGTACCTTGAAACAAAAGATCATAGGCTCCTGTTGTGAGGCTAAAGGGCCTGAAAAGCTGGCTGTAGTTCACATCAACGTCAGGGCCAGTGCTTGAATCTGAGCACTTTGTCAGGGGATTCAACCTTGATAGAATTCGCGCTGGATTTCGTGCCAGAAGGAATGAGCTCGCGAAGCTCCCCGTGCGCAAACCACACAATCATGGTTGAGCGCCACATGACCAACGTAGTCGGTGCGCTCCAAAGCCCAAATCATCATCACACAACCATTGTCCTTACTAGCAAGGATTACCAGACACGCACGCGTAGCGTTGATCTCTTTGTCACAAAAATCATCTCAAACGATTTCTCACCAATGTCCACCAACGGCACCCCATTCATCACCCACACTCCAATCATAAAACCTTTCAAGCGGGCGTCGCTTCGTCTTCGCTCCCAACACACAATATTAACTACGTCGCATCCGCGCCAACCCTGTCTACGACCGCGTCCCCGCGTGCCGGAGCGGGGACGGAGACGTCCCCGGGAACACTCCGGAACCTCTCACAGACTGGGACACTACGGATGGGAATGTCCCGCCTTCCTCGGCGTTGCCGCGGAGGCGTCTCCGCTCTCCGTGCTCCCCGGCAACTGATTGGCTACTGCACAGTGTGAGGCGGTGTCGCTGCTTGCGTCGTCAGTGGATTCTCTTCTGAAATTGAGTATGGTAGACCAGAGGCGCAAAATCCACGTTTGCGGGTGGTTCCTCGATACATGGGGCGAGTGGAGGGGAAGGATTACAAACTGCGAGGTTTGTAACGAGAAGGCGGCATGTGCATAACGGTCGGTGCTTAGTGCATTCGTGTACGTGACTAAGTGTCTTAATTTGATGAGCTTAAGCATTACGTTGCTGAACCCTCGCCCTGATTCGCCGTTTTTCATAACGAGAACTGATAGCGGGGTGGGGGGTCGATGCGCCCCCTGCCGCTTCTAAAGGAATGCAGATAGAGCTGAGCAAAAATACAGGTGGATTGGTATCAGCGAGATCTCGCGTTCGGTACTAGTTTATTCTGCTGTTGGGGAAATAACTGACCCCAATATGCCAGGTCATAGGTAATTTTCCACAATAGCTTTTTCAGCTTAACAACATCATTCATCTGAAACTAAGATTCGTGGCGACACAAAGAGTGTCTCTTGTTCAATTTCAGTGTAACGGTTAATATTTTGATGTGTTTTGAGCATATCATTAATATCTGGCTCCGTTAATGTGACGATCTCGGCCCGGAGCGCGCGTTCCACGGCTTCGTCGGTTACCGCCCAAGGCAACCTTAGATCGCCGTACAGTGTTTTTGAAAAACCGCCGCTACTCCGTAACCAGAAAACATAGTAACATGTTTTTGGTGTCAAAACGCGCGCCATGGTTGTCCCGCAGGCTCCTAAAAATTTTAACGCGATTGCACATCATGCCTTAGAGGTATCGTCAAAAACCTTAGGTGGTGGGGGGGGGGGGGGCATCCTATCTTATCGAGCGCCCCTATCGGGGCGGGGGGTCAAAGGGAATGCTCCAGATCTGAATATATTGAAGCAAACTTTAGATAAGAAGAAATAAGCCCTTTTGTAACATTTGGTATACTTAAGAGGGAGCGTTCTACATGCGTTAAATGCTCGGTATAAATAAAAACCATAGTATAACGTTTCGTTGAATTCGCGCGACAATAGCTTCGTGTTCGCATGCATTTTTGTATTGCGTGTTTCAAGCTTTCGTAGCTCTTATCACACAAGTGGTGTCACACAATAGCGTGTCGCAAACATTACATAACACGCACCTTAGAAAAAGCACGGCAAAGGAGATGTGTTCGTTTCATAGTGATAAGCAGTGAGTCAAATGACATTCCTCCCGCGAGGTCCGCTACTTCAAATCGAAATTCTGAAGTACTCAGAACGCTGCCCAGAAAAATTGTATTACTGATCAAATCGCACGCGTTCCATGCAACTATAAGCGAAAGGCACAAAAGGGGCGGATTCTCCCTTTAAAGGTATGATTGCCCGTGACTCCACCGCTGCGGGCGCTGGTTGATGTAGCGTCCATCCAGGACAGGGTGATTGCTTCCCAGTTGCTGCCATCGCCCGCGAGGGAGCAAGTCAAAGGAACAGCCTGCCGCAGTCAGGCGTGGACCAAGGAAATCTCTTCAATATGACAGGCATTGGCGAACGGTTGGGACGCATGTAGATGCACACTTCAGCCTCGCCAATAGGGTGCATGGCTATTGCCTCTATGCAAGTTTGGTGGCTTTCAATTTTCATCGTGGTTTGCCTAAGTATGCTATTGAGTTGCTTTTCCCGAAATGCAGTTTTCTTATTTATGCGCTAGAACAGTTTTGATTCGTCCTGGCAGTTTTGAATATTTTTTGTTGAATAACGCACGTTATGTGTGTGAAATGTATCCGACAATGGGTTTTTGGGTACATTTCGCAAAAAATGAACCCCAAAACAGATTTATCCCAGATTCGTTTCACTTCATGCTCATAGTTGGAGTGTGTTTGTGTTTGTGTGTTGGGGGGGGGGGGGGGGGGGTCTGGACTGATTAGAATAGGAAACAACTGAATAGGACACGAATGGATAGTTCTCAACTGAATAGGAAACCACATCCCTGCTCCACCGCGTGTTCTCGCTTTGTCTCAGCACAACGCGTCGTCGGGCAGCAAATTATTTTGTTTGGCATTAACGGTCAGAGGCAACTTCTGGTTACTGACATAGGGCCGATGTAGCAGATAGGGCCGTTGTCATATGGCTGTAGATGTTGTTTCACGTGTACACTTCAGGGTACAGTGTTACTTGTTATGCGCCACTGTCCGATGCTGCCACGGAAGCTGCCGACCGCAGGGCGGGCTGCAGGCTGGAAAGCAGCACTCGAGTCAAATATATTCGGCACGGCTTGTTTTGTAGCGGTGGGCGTTGTCGGGCCGTTACCGCTGTCGGTTTAGTCGGTGGCTGTCGATCGTCAGACTTTTGCAACTATTTCTGTGGAAATTTGCGTCTAATCGGAGGCTGGCGCATATCAAGGGTGCTACCGAATGTAGGCGGCTAGCAAAATCGTCATGTTTCGGTGTACTAATATGTGACCACTTTTTATTTTCATTTATAGACAATGAACGGATAAGACCTAGCCTTTTTCGCTTCCATGGCCTTGGATGAAACATCAAAGCACAATAAATCGAATCATACCAGGCTGTAGAAGTCGAAACGTCCATGAATATTGTCATACCACAAAACTGGACCAGAGTCGACAATACATTAATTTTGGAGTAGAAATCATACAGCATTCAGAAAAAAGTTAATCGGACCTAAACGCGGAGATCTAAAACTGCCTAACTGAAGCAGCCACACTTAACGGGACCAGATATGGGCGATTTCGTTCATCGTGGTTTTCATTGTTTTTATTTTATCTGTGAAACATCTCTTACAGCCTTCCTTTCAAATTTTATAATCTTGCGTTCCCATTTCAATGTTCTGCTTACGCTGAATCTCCAGAAGGTGGAGTGTGCTGTAGGGGGTCAAACTCACCGTTGGGGTGGCCAAGTCGGACGTTGGGGGGGAGGGAGGTAGTGGCCTTCCCAAAAGGATACAGATCGAGACCCGCGCGTGTGATTGTACCTATTTCCTCGCTTGAGTTTTGAGATAGAAGTAACAGTTTAGGGAGAGGTGGCATGCTGGCTCAAAGGATGCTCTCATCAAGGCTCCAAGCTGTAACCAAGCAAATGAACGGCATGCAGATTATGGAGCACTCAAAGTACAAAGTACGGAGATAGTCAGATGGACAGCAGTTAGTGGTTTTCATGGTTGTGAAATATGTATTGTATTGAAGGCTTACTGAAATAAGGTAAGTCAAAACATTCACATGGAAAGCATGAACACGACAAAACTTGGTTGATAATCAACATTTTTTCAAGGCAGTTGTTGATAAATAAAACATAAAGAAAGCTAGGCGGGAAATTTTGCCATGACATGCCATTGCAATCATGCAAAAAACTGCTTTGTACACCACCTCGTGTGTGCATGCAGATAAAAAACTTCATCTACTGTGTGGTTTGGAAAAGTACACAAACCCTGAATCCCCAAATCGAATTTTCCAGTCTGGTCAGGGAGCCACAGTGCCCCACAGGGTGTCCTGCGTCAACAAGGGGCCTCGAGCCGGCCAGGGGAACATTTGCTGAACGTGGATGGGGACGGGACCCCGAATGCCAGAGGGCCTCTTGCGTTGGTCAGGGCCCTTTGACAATGGAGGGAACTATGAAACTTATGACTAGAGCTGACAGTGAGACAATGGAAGGGCCCCGTGTCAGTCAGGGCCCCCAATACCCAACGGCTGGCACTCCGGCCCGATTCCAGCCGTGAGCCCGTTAAGCCGACCTGGGGTCTGTGTGCCAACTAGTGGACCGCCTGCGGCGATCAAGGATCCTGTTGCGTCAATGAAGGCTCTTGCGCTTATCCGGAGCCAATTGCGCGGATCAGGGGACGTCCCGCGTCAGGGAGGTGACCACTGTAATGTGATGTATCCCTCTAAGGGTCTCCAGATCGATCAGGGATCCCGCCCCACGTGTCGCCAGAATGACAGCCAAAGTCACCCCGACTGGGAGGTGCCTTCAGCCCTTGACTGGAGATGATAATGTGCGTAACTGAAGGGTGCCCATTGCCCACGGGAAAAGTAAAGGGTCTCGATAATGTTGAATAGAGTGGGTCAAAATGAGCTAAAAATTGAAAAAGTCAATCCATGTTTGCTTGCGAGCATTTATCTTTTCCAGACTAGTGAAACAAGCTGCATCAAAAAGCCCTGAGCCTGCGCGTGCGCAATCTCAGGAGTTAGAGCAGCGATGGTGCGGTTGCAGCCTCCGTAAAACCGAACATCGTCGGTCCCTGCAAGAAACAGCAGGCGGCGGGCGCCGTGCGCGAGAAGACCGTCCTGAAAAATGCTTCCAAACGTCTTCAAAATCAGTTTGTACCGTTCCAAGATTAGTCTGGAGCGTGTCTTTTTTTGCGGTTTACTTCTGGACAGTTAAACAGTTTTTTGCGGTTGGTTTCTAAACAGTTAACAGTTACAGCTGAACGAAAAAATAGGCAGTGCGCCTTTGTTCGTCCAGTTCCGCCATTACATTTAAACGCTACTTCGTGGTACCGTAAAAGCGTAGCTATTATTATGTATGCAATATTGCACAGGTGAAATATACGCCCCAAATACGTTCTAAGAATTCTACGAAGGTACGAATTGATGTCCTAGAGCACCGAAAGGCACTTCTTTTAGGTAAGTAACCATTTTCATCAACCCGTTAGCCACCGCTTGGTATTAGCCGCAAAGCTAATACCGTGCGGCCAGTGGAGACTAGAATGCCGATCATCGAGGTTTTGTTGCTAGGAGTTGCGATTGTGCTTGTCCCAAACCACGTCACATAATTTTTCTCACGAATCGATTCTGACTGAATGTTGAACATTTCCGGGCAAACGTTGGTTGACCATGGTACTACAATTGATGGCCCATTTCGTTCTACAATCCGCGCTCGCGAAGTCCTCTTTATCTCTGTGCAACCCAGATCAAAATTCTGGCGAAGCTTCTAAGCTTTATCGGTTTACAAAGAGTTTGCTGAACCATTACAAAATGAAGAGCGCCGGTGGTTTATTCCATGCAGTCGCTGAACGCCTGATTTCTTCAGTTTGTCGCCTTTAAAATTCAAACAGAATTGATATCGTTGTGGCATCTGGCTTTTGTCTCCGTTATAGAAGGTAAAGATGATAATTAAACAAAGAAAACTGTGCCCCCGGTAACAAGTGAGCCCATACCCAGCAATTTTTTAAAGGAGGGGCCTTTCACCATCAGCGGGCCCTTTATCAACCCCGTGCCCCGCCCCCTCCCCTACCCAGGCTTTAACTACGCTCCCTTCCTTGAGACAGCATTGGGAGAAGTGTTGAACATTTGAATATCAAGGTCAGGCTTCCAGTGCCTCAGTTTCCTCTTATAGACCGCAGTATCTTCCCCTTTCCCACACGGACTGGAGGTAACGCGGGCCTTGAGACGGCCGCACTGCCGACCACAGCCGGCTCCTACGGGTCTTCTGGAGCTCTGTCGGTGCTGGCTGACGCAGCTGGGTGCGTCGGCCAGCGCTGGCCGGAGTCGCTGGCTGAATGCAGCGATTGACGACTGCTGACTGACTGGCGCCTGCCTGGCTGGTGACTGATGGCTGACTGACCGGTGGCTGGCCAACTGGCTGATTGGTGACTGACCGGCAGCTGGCAACTCATTGGTGACTGACACTGACCGGCTGGCTAACTGGTGCTGGGCAACTGCGGTCCGACCGTGGACTGACCACTGCGGACTGACTGGCGACTGACTTCACTCACTTCAGTCGAACCTTGCCGTCTGCCTAGTCCACGGATTGGCTGGGAAAGGACGGGGGTCAGATGACAGACGACTTGTGCCACTGAACGCTTTACATGGTCTCCGTGATGAGGTTTGTCACACTTTGGCCGAGGTCTTGCTTTGTGTTTTACCCCAGTCGTCATTGGCGACATCGTGCGCTTCGAACTTGATCAGGGACACGGCAAGTAACGGTTCACTACAGTGCACAGAGCGCACAGCGTGCACGGTTATCAAAAGAAAGCATCGGAATTCGTTATCGCTTCCCAGATCATGATTGCGTCAGTGTCGTTGTCCACTCAGTGGGTTCAGTGCATACTCGCATTTGGGCTTGCTGTCCCAGATATGCGACAGACCATGCCACGTAAGCTCAGTCCGACCAGTGACGTCAGGACTTATCTTTACGTGATTATTCAGAACACGATTGCATACTGTTACTTTTTTGTAATTGCGATAGGATACGGTCGCACCCAGCTTTGTTTGGTGAGCTGAGTGCCATGCACGTTTCGTGTCGAAGTGGCTTTCTGCCACCGAGGCCGTTGACGGCGTTATACCGTCCTGTGCCGTTGTTTTATTCGGCTCAGGTGCAAGTGCTGACAAGCGTTATGCAACGTGGCGTCTTTCTGTACCACAGCTCATGGGGCTGGTTGAAAAGACGGCTATCTGTAAAGTGCCACCACTGAGCCCACTCCATTCCATTAATGCCCATGAAACAGTGTGAACTAGTCTGCGCCCACGTGGCGCGGATCGGCTGCGGTGCCAGCTGCGCCCGGTCCACACGGCGCGGCCGCCTCGACAGCGCCGGCCGGGCCGGCACCGCGCCAGCCGACGACAGGCGCGGCCGGCGCTTATTCCCAGCGGCAGCTGGGCCTCGGCCCGGCGCGGTCGGACCGTTCCCGTGCCGTCGCCGGGGGTGGCAGGGCCAGGGCGGCGGGCGCCCCCCGGCGTCCCAGTCGCAGGTCTGCCCGCGGGGCGATGCGGGCGCCGTCGGCTCTCCGCCCCGTGCTGGGGGCGCCCGCCCGCCCGCCCGCACCGGCCGGCGTGACGTCACGCGGCGCCGCCGCCCGGCCGCGGCTGGGATGTGGGCGCGCCGTGCCGTGTGCCGTACTGCGATGTGTGTCTGCTGCGCGACGTGGCGTCCGGCCTCTGCTTCTTGTGGGCGCGGAGTATCGTTCCTTTCGGCAGCTGAAACATTGGCAGGTATGACCGTAATGTGCCCGCGACGTAATAGCGCGCGTTTGCTGTGGGATGTGGTTTGCAGCGCTTGCACCTTGTTTCCTGATTTCATTGATATTCTGTGACCTTGAAGCCCCATGCCTGTTCTGGTGAACCTGTGTCACCCTCCGATTGTCATGAAACGTGTCTTCCACCGTGTTGCGTCGGTGGTGCCTTGTATCCGTCCATCACCTCGTCCCCCCACCACGTGAACCTACCCCAGTGTCCTGCTGCGCGGCGTCTCCGCCGTGCCGTGCTCTGATCGCGCGCCGCCGGCCGGCCCGCCGTCTGACTGACCACCCGCGCCTGCCGCAGATGACGAGGGAGACAGCGCGGCCGACAGCGAGGAGGACGTGATCACGCACTTCCCGGTGTCGGTGCCGGGCAGCGCGGCCGCCAACGGCCGCGTGCCGGTCGTCCTGGGTGAGTACCGCCGCCGGTCCGCGCGCCGCAGCCTGGCGGTGTGGAAATCATCGCTGCCTCCGCCGCGACGCGGCCATACTGCGCCAACTAGCCCGCAGTCTTGAACCAAAGCATATTGGTGGCGTTCTAGGTACCAACACATTTCAATATTTTGGATCAAGCTCAGAGTGATCGTTAAGGTACACAATGCTGTAGTTGTTCAGGTGCTCCACTGATTGTAGTTTCTTGGAAAGAAAAGCAACTCTCACGTATTAGGCTCACGATTCGAGTTCTGCTAAATGTGTGCACATTTTATGTTTTCGGTCTTTTTGTGAGCTTTTGAAAAACCATTGGGATTTCTGTTACGTTCACAGCAGGCAGGGGATAGTATGTAATCACTGAATGTACTTTGTGCAGTAGTTGGCTCCAATCTTTGGTAGCGTTTGGATCGGAGTACTTCTGATTAAAAGGCTTTGCGGAAAATATGTATTGTTTTGGCGCCTGGGAGATTTGGGGTTCTCTTACATTGTGCGTGAGTTAAAGAGAAGTGGCATAGTCGTGGTGTCCTTTATTCAACATTAGGTATGATTGCCGTGCTCTCAAGTTAATGCGCTGTATGCCTGGTTTACCGATTGTACGATGTGCCTACGACTGACATTTTGACCGCAGACACGTGCCATGCACCATAGAGTACTTACAACGCACTCGGGAGTCCGGGAAAGGTCAGGACGCTCAGGCCTGTCCAGTGTGACCGGCTTTATTATGAAGGCTGATTTTGGCAATGGACTCATAGATGTTATATCTGTTGGTATATCTCGGCAAAATTCTTTTTGTTATGTATCTTTGATTAAAAATGACCGCTCACTCAGCATGGACGAAGTTTTTTATGCATGGTTAGTGTTTCTGTGCTTTTGTCCTAGCAGTGTCGTTTAGATCAGAGAGTGTTCGTGCAAGATCACTCATATATTTGTCAATCTGTGCCTTCTTACATTTCGGGACCTTATCTCATCGTCGTAAAAATATAGATGTCAAAATGAATAGTTTTTGTTTGTAATTGTATTACTATCTTGAAAACATCTATTAGTTCGGAGCTAAAATACACCCATAATAAAACACTTCAAAGACGCGAACATATTTCTACAATCACATCTGTAGTGCCTAACGTCCACCACCTTGATTACTCAAGAGCTGTGCAAAAATTTGTATACCTTTGTAGGGCTGGAGAGAGTTTGTTAATAAAGGCCGCATTCGATCTGCCGTCAGCAGGATTGTCAGCTGGTATGCGTGACGTCATAAGTGCTGACGGAGCGTTCGACGTGTGGGCTGACGTGTGCGCTGAGTAAGAGTTTTTTAAACTTTACCTTCCTCTTTTCCTTTACCTTTTAACCACTTCAAACCACGCGCTAACTCTGGCTTACCGCCGACCACAACACACTACCTATTAACTGGTGTTTGGAAGTGTGGATCCTGCTCAGATATCACCATCTTGTATCTTATCCGTAAGTAGAGTGCTTCTTCCCATTCCCATCTCATTCAAACTTCTTCCCTTCTTATGTTAAGCGATCACGCATTTTTGTGTGGAAAAGGTCTATTGATCCTTCACTGCTTCTTGTGCCACCATGAAACTGATCATTTCATTGAACTCCCACCTGTACTGACAAAGCCTATGTTGGAGACCTGTGAGACCTATGACCTACATATGACCTACTATCACTACATGACCTACTTCGAGACCTATGTTTGCCTAAAGACCTGTGAGACCTAAATTATGGCGTTTCGATCATATTCTCCATCTTTTACGGTTACTCCAACGCTATTAATTTACTGGGGAACGCAACTACACCCCACACCATTCACTATCATTCACTTTTTCATGGCTGCTACTGACAGTTCAGTTCCCTTCTTATCTATCCTACGTTGCATTTCCCCAAAATTAGGAACGAGTGCCCCCATCCTACCTGACGTGCTCAACACTAGAGGTACTGAATCAAACTCCCGCTTCTTTGCCAGAGGGATTTTTAAATCTGGGGAACACTATCCATGCTGACGGGCTGACAAATAATCCTTGCGTCGTCAGCCGGCGCGCGACGTCACAGACCACGTGACTTTGTGATCGCGTAACGTGCCGTAGGCATTTACTTCATCCAGCTGGCATTTTCTTACTCTAGCGCTCTACTTTTGCGATAATAAACGTCGTTGTCAATTTTGTGGTCATTCTTGCCTTTTACATGTCGAGAGGTGATTTCCCGTAGAGCTTTTTCGTCTTGTTTGTAGGCAGATCAGATGCCATTTGATCTTGAAAGATGACAGCATAAGACTGGACATTTACTGTCGCCATGTAGACGATATATTTGTGGAGATGAGGAACACTGACCAGCTAGAACGTCTCAAAAATACCTTCGAGGAGTAATATAATCCAGCTTTCATAAAAATAACTAAGTGTGCAAAATACAATACCCTTTCTTGACGTGACTGTTCATGACAGGGACCGATTTTAAGCGGCAGTACACCGAAAGCAGACCAACAACAGACGTCGTTAAATGCCGACAGTGAGTGGCCTCGACGCTACAAAATTAGCATCATAAGCCCATTCCTTAGACTTGCATTTAAGCCTCCCTCCGATTAGACAGGATTGCATTCGGAATTGGTACGAATCAGACAGGCCTTGGTGAAGAACGCTTTTTCAAATTCCGACGTTGAAAGCGAAATACAACGACATGTGGCAAGACATTTTGGTAGCAAACCAAGAAAAAACAACCAACCAATCGTCCAACCGTGTCATCAAAATCAAATGACATCGGTCTGCAAACAAGACGAAAAAGCTTTACGGAAAATCATCTCTCGACGTGCAAAAGACCGGAACAACCACAAAATAGACATTGCCATATATTATCGCAATAGAAAAATCTCCAACTTTGTTGTGAGAAACAGCCTAGACAAGCCCAACAAACTAAAATGCACCAATGTAGGGTATCAATTCAACTGCAATACCGAAGGCTGCAAACTTCGTTCCATACACTACATTGGCGCTACCATGGCGCTTGCGGTACCGGGCAGTGCATTTACGTGACGGGGCACCCCTGGAGCACACGCGACACGAACGTGACGGGGCATTGACACAAGAACTGGCCGGCAACGCCGACATTGTGCAGACGTGCAATGACAGAAGACGCCTTTAGATATGAGAAAGCATGGCTATTAACAAACCCTCTCCAGTCCTAAGCAGACTAACAAATTCTTGCACAACCGTTGAGTTACTTGGTGATGGGCGATCAGTGCTTTAAATGTGATTGTGGCGATGTGTTTGGTTTTTGTAGTGTTCTATTATGGCTGTATTTGACCTCCGCACTGAAATCTGTTTTTAGGTAATAATGCACAATGTCCATCCTTAAAAACTCAAAACTTATATCTTGTGCCAGTTCTATTTCTCCGACAACATGAGATCTCGAAGCGTAGGAAGGCACAGATTGACGAAAATATGAATGATTCTGCACCAGCGATCTTTGATCTTAACAATGTTGCTAAGGCAAAGCTAGGAACCTCAAACAAATATTAAACAAAACGAACCAGCAGGGGGTGGCATGACCCAACATGCACATATCCCTGGCCTTCTCAACCTGCTGATATTTAGCGTAGTCGGGCCACATGAACATGTTCGGGGTCTCCTGGCCGTCGTGTTCAGGGATGTTACAACACAAATATAGATCAATGTAAAAATGGTACGAAGCCTGTCATGTGCGCGTAGTCCCCATCATCGGCGCCACGCCGCCCAGCGAAGTCGGGGAAGGCCCGGCTCATCGCCGGGACACCGGCTGCTCTCCGTGTCGATAGCTGTAATTTTGCCGGGCTTCCGGCGTGGGCTGGACGGCGGCGGCCCAGGTAATCACGGCGCGTCGTCGGTCGAAACCGGCATCCGCGGCCGATCGAAGGGCCGCCCGGGCCCGGTCGCCGGCCCGGTCGCCGGCCCGGCCGTTTTTTCTTCGACGTCTAAGCATTGATCGGACGTATTCCGGCTGCAAAGGTCGCAGTGGGGCCCGCGCCGAGCGTGTACCGCTCTGTTCGATGGCACCTGATGCTGGCGGGTTTCAGTGTGGCGCCTCAAGGTGTCTGAACAGCGTCTGGGGCGTACGCTGTCAGCTGCGGCTGTGGGATAGTAGCTTAGAAGACGGTCCGTGCCACGGTGAGCATCGCTGCCGTCCAAGGTGAATGCCAGCGCGTTGCATTAATTCGGACGCCACAGTGGTGCAATTTTTAGGGACGTTTTAATGCAGCGGGAATTGGCGCCATCAGACTCCAATTTGTCCGCTATTTGGTGGTGGTACAGACAACCATATCTTCGTGGTGTCTTTTTATGTGATAACGGGATATGCTGAGTGCCAATAAACGATATTTATAACGATATCTATAAACGATATCTCCCAGTGCTCGCCGGCTGAAATCCTCTCTGGAAAGGATTTATGGCACCAAGTAATCGCGTTTGTTTTCGGTACCCCGCTAGGTTTGGTTGTCTAGGGGCATGTGAGCGCGCTGTGTTGCTGTGCATCACGTGAACAGGTGGTCCATGACGAAAGCCACCGGTGAGTCAGCGCTGTTGCCTCGCCGGGCGGTCCTGCCTGTTACGTCCTCATCGCATGCAGGCACGTGGCTTGGAGCTTTCATGCATCCAAGTGGAGCGCCTGCGCCGCGCCGTATTTCGCGCGCCTCAGCTGCGGCAGCCTTCGCGGGGGCCAAACATGGTTTTGAATGAAAATGAGTTCGGTGGTCAACACTTGCATACACGTAACTGAAGTATTTTTGGATAAAAGACGCCACTTTGGATGGAAAATTCGAGTAGTTTACTTTATGTTTTGTCATAGTATTCAGCAGCCATAGCTTTGTTGTTTCTGTCTTTTGTCTGCGCGGCCGCGTTACGGTGGGTCACCGCCGCGGTCTCACTAGCTGATCGGGGTCACACGCCGCCCGGCGCTCCTCGAAACGGGCTACCCTCTCGCTGCGGCACGGGCTGGCCGGTTGCCCTCTCGCTGCGGCACGGGATGGCCGAATGGCTTCCCCCTGCGGCACGGACTGGCCGACTGCCCACTCCCTGCGGCACGGGCTGGCCGATTGCCCTCTCCCTGCGGCACGGGCTGGCCGACTGCCCTCTCACTGCGGCAATGGCTGGCCGATTGCCCTCTCCCTGCGGCACGGGCTGGCCGACTGCCCTCTCACTGCGGCAATGGCTGGCCGATTGCCCTCTCCCTGCGGCACGTTCTGGCCGACTGTCCTCTCCCTGCGGCACGATCTGGCCGACTGCCCTCTCACTGCGGCACGGGATGGCCGACTGACTTCTCCTTGCGGCACGAGATGGCCGACCGCCCACTCCCCGCGGCACGAGCTGACCGATGGCAGCTCACCGCACAGCGGCTTTGAAAACATCGGCGGACGCGATTTCCGGGAAACTTGCACCGTCTCCCCATGCCGATTAACGTGAACCCCCCGAGTCCTTAGCAAGATTCGTGGATGCTCCCTTGATATGTGTTTGCTCGATAGGTAAGGACAAATTGTGGGCAAGGTTCGGCACATTTGCCGTTTTTGGAGATGTCAGTGTTGCCCAAACTATTCGTTAACCCCATTCCAAGCGGTTGGGAACATTCGTTTGCTTTTCTCCGCATTTTTTAGTAAATGACTCAAAATGAGTTCAGAGAGCCGTCAGAATGGCGTTATTTGCTCACTCCGAAATCGCTTCGCCGTTTTCTCTCCCTTTTAGATCCTCGAGCTGCAGGATCGAGCTTCGTCAAGCTTGAGCTCTTTCTATCTTTTGTCAATCACACGTCTTGCCGACGTCACTCCAGGCGTCCGCCGTCTGTCAGCGACACGCCAGCATCAGTGCAGGCGGCAAGGCCTCTTCACTACTTGTGTGACGTCACTCCAGGCGTCTGCCGCCAGCCAGCTACACAACAGCCTCAGAGCAGCCGCTGGCCTGCTTCACTACTCGTGTGGCCTCAGTTCATTTTAACTTGGCTCGCGCTGCGTGTTATTCTGGAATTCATTTCATCACGTGACGATACGCCCCCATTCAAGCTGCTGCCGTGATATTTCACCGCCAAAGGTGTACTGAAATATCAGAAAGCGCAACACCAGCAAAGTGAATGTTGCAACCGAGGCGTTATGCAACCTGTGTGATACCGAACACCCTGTACACCAGAAAATAGCGAAAACTTGAATGCCTTAACCTGTTAAGTTTGATGTTTATAAGGCATAGAAGCTGCGCGTCTAAGAACTAGGGGTGCAGGGTTCGGTTCCCCGCGGTGCCCACCCTTCCTGCTCATACGGGGGGAGCAGTGAACCAGTTGTTGATTTCATGTGCGATCGGCTCTGCCAAGCAGGTGAAGCCAACCTGACTGATAAGTTTCATGTCACCTTCCTGTATGGTGACATGGCGGTGGCCCAGTGCCTCACCGGATGAGACCGGTGTTGCCAACATACTGAGGGAGCGATGACAGCAACAAAAACTGATCCAAGAGGGGATGCTGCTCCTGTCACGTATCAAGGGAGTTTTCCTTATCTTAGGTTCGTCTCACAAAGGCTGTTTTTGCTCTATGTTCTCACCTGTGCTGTGCCGGATAGGCTATCCGCCCATACTTAAGTACCCTAAATCTGTTCACCATTTAAGTATTGGCATTGGCGAACCACACGATGTCAGTAGCATGAGATCGCTGGCTCTCACCTTTGCTCTTGCGCTCCCAATGCTTTAAGGCCGGTCTCCGTGCTGGCATCCTGCTCCCCTGCTCCTGAACGCAGGCATTCGAGAGGGCTCGGAATGCTTCGGTTCAAGGCGAACTGGGCACTCTTTTGACCGCCTCCACCGACCGGGAGTACCGGGGGACACTCTTGGGACCGCCTCTACGGACCGGGAGTACCGGGGGCACTCTTGGGACCGTACCGAACGCCTCTGTCGAGCTGGTCTTCCTGGATCCCGCGTCTCGCTACAGCCTGTGCTTAACAGGGATATCTGTATTGTTTATTATTCTGTATTTTGCCCTGTACAGTTGAGCTGATTGGGGTTTGTGGAGGTTTCATGGGACATGATTAGATATCACAGCTGCCGCTTCAAATGCTTTTTTGTGTGTGTTTGGGTTCAATGGCAGGCCAACTTCGTGCAATTTCAACTCTAAATGGGTTGTTACATCGCACCGAATGCTTTCAGTTGACTTCCGAAATCCGTTGCGGACGATATTGGAGTCGTATGATGATCATAAGATCCGTTAAACTACATGTCATATAATGAGGCTGATACAGAGACGTTTACGTTTGCGGCACCACTTATCTTGGAAATTTTGTTTCCGTCTTAACTATATTTTTCAGATTGCCTCAGTTCTGGAGCGCTCTTGCTCTTGCTCTTGCAAAATTATGTGTTTATATAGCTATATGTACTTATGAACAGTGAGGGAAATGTTAGCGGAACCTACCGTTGCTGTGCAAATCGGACGTGGCCATTGCATACACGTGCGCTCGATATGAGCTTCGCCCTAAAGGATGGTGTTCTCGGGCAAGTGCCGGCTCATTCGCCAAGATCACAGCATAGTCCGTTTGACACTGTAACCAGTACGTGCGCATTGTTTGGCCATGCTGTCCCGCTGTCAGCCGCCGGTCTGTCCGGACAGCCGCTTCCGCCCCGGGTGTCTGCCGGTCTCTGTCCGGGCAGCCGCCTCCGTCCCGGGTATCTGCCAGTCTCTGTCCGGACAGCCGCCTCCGTCCCGTGTGTCCGCCGGTCTGTCCAGACAGCCGTCTCCGTCCCGAGTGTCTGCCAGTCCCTGTCCGGACAGCCGTCTCCGTCCCGGGTATCTGCCAGTCTCTGTCCGGACAGCCGCCTCCGTCCCGTGTGTCCGCCGGTCTCTGTCCGGACAGCCACCTCCGTCCCAAGTGTCTGCCAGTCCCTGTCCGGACAGCCGCCTCCGTCCCGGGTATCTGCCAGTCTCTGTCCGGACAGCCGCCTCCGTCCCGTGTGTCCGCCGGTCTCTGTCCAGACAGCCGTCTCCGTCCCGAGTGTCTGCCAGTCCCTGTCCGGACAGCCGTCTCCGTCCCGGGTATCTGTCGGGACAGCCGCCTCCATCCCGAGTGTCTGCCGGTTTCTGTCCGGACAACCGCCTCAGTCCCGTGTGTCCGCCGGTGTCTGTCCGGACAGCCACCTCCGTCCCAAGTGTCTGCTGGTCTTTGTCCGGACAGCCGCCTGCGTCCCGAGTGTCTGCCGGTCTCTGTCCGCACAGCCGCCTTTTTCCCGAGTGTCTGCCGGTCTCTATCTGAACAGCCGCCTTCGTCCCGAGTATCTGACACCGCGCCTCTGCCATCGGCGTCTGTGTAACGGCGTTTTCGGCGCGGCGGCGCGCCTATTTTGGATACGACCCCGGGTGTGCAGCGAGTCCCGTGTGTTTACCCGCCCCCTGCTGACCTCGGGGTCAGCGGACCGGCCGTCCGACCGGCCGATCCCTGGCTGTGGATGGGGGCGTGGGCGTCACTGACGACGGCATCGACTTCTCGATGCCGACATGGACCTCCGTATTTGTCTGCGTCCTTGTCGTAGACTGCGTAGCCGCTGTTCGCATGCATGTGTGTGGAGCTGTGATGTCTGGGTAGTGCAAGGTGTCTGTAGAAGCCCGCTGCTGTTGAGATGCAGTGACCGCGTTTGTATCGGGGGCTGTGTAGGAGCGGCGGCCCGTGTCTGTGTCCAAAGTCGTGCCACGCCGGTGTGTGCGTGCGCGTCCGCGTGACCGCGTGTCCGCTGCCGTGTCCGCGAGCTGGCGAGCTGACGGGCCGCTGCCGCCGACAGAGGAGAACATCAGCCACCTGCACGCGCTCCAGGAGGACATCCAGCAGATGCGGCAGCTGACGGCCTCCGCCCACCGCGGCTCGCACAAGGTAAGCGGCGCCGACCGAGCGGCGTGCCCGGCGAGGCTCGGGCCGCACCGACCATGAGTAGCCGGAGGCCTGCCGACGGCCACGGCCTGTGCCTGGCGCCGCGCCCCTCCGGCAGACGGCGCAGGTCTCACGTCGCCGGCAGCCTGCCGACGGGCACGGCCTGTACCCGGCGCCGCGCCCCTCCGGCAGGCGGCGGGGGTCTCGCGCCGCCGGCCGCCTCTCCTTACCCGGCCGGTTTGGCGTGTTCGGCTGACGGGATGGACGGTCTGCTCTGCAACTGGGCTAGCGCGCTGGGCATGCCGCGCGTCGTCACCTGCAGGGAGCCTAACGGCTCGCATCATCGCGGAGAAGACCACGACGACGTGGGCCGTAGCGCATTTGCAACTGGCCAGCAGGAGCTCCGGCCGGACAGCCGTAAATGCGCTACGGCCGGCACGGGCTGGCCGCAGCTCCGGCCGGCCCGTGCCGAGGCGCGGCTCGGCCGCGAGGTCGGCCGGCAGGCGGAAGGGGAGCGACACGCCGGCGGGCGCGCTCTTCCGCTGACCCCGGACCGTGACGTCACCCATTCAGAGGTCGGCCGGCTCCTACCGCGCTCTCAATGGGCCAGCGACGGACAATTGCCGGATTTACATGGTAAATAGTGGTGACGGGCGATGCGACCTGTTGTCCGCGTTTGGTACCAAAGGGCTTGGTGGAAAATAATTTTGCAATGCAAGCTGTCTGTGATAGGAAGTAGGTTGCAGAAGATAATCAATCGCCGCATTGCACCGAAGCAGCATACGCATAAACTCATGGTAGAAGGAGCGAAAATTTGTTTGCCTTGTCACTCGTGCTGAATATTTGACCGCCGCTAATTCTAGTCATAGCTTGTCTCCGTCAACAGACGTATGGCAACAGAGTAATGGAAAGTAATGGCGTGGGGCGCGCGCGCTGAACCCCGGTGGCTGGCTCCTATTGCCGCTGCGCGGTGCAAACACCGCTGGTAGAGAGGGCGTGGCCAGCGGCCGGCCAGGCCTGGCGCAGAGCGTGGCCCGTTGTGAAGCCCCACGTGCCTCGGGTATTTTTGTATTGCAGACCTTGTACTTCCGGTACGCTCGGGGTGCTATACTTCAATCAGTCGTCAATTGTCGTCGATGGTGTTTTGTTGATTTTAACTGATCCGTGTTGTCGATCCAGGTCGTATTTGGGGGGGGGGGGAGAGGTCAGAAAACTGTCCCTTTTTCGGCGCATCAACAGATCGGTGGCTCCCGCGGTGAGGGATTCTGTGGTGAAATCTCAACGCCTGAGTATTTTACACCACCCACTTTTAAATGTGCTTTGCTGCTTTTAATTCGTTTTGCTCACCATTTTCCATCAGCCGCACGTGGGGTCGGTTAACCGTGCCCTTGCTATGCTATGTAAGAAGCTCATTGAACCGTAGAGAACATGCGGAACAAGCAAGATATGTTCTTGCCTTTTTAAATTCGATCTTTGGCATCGTGTTTTCCCCTGACCTACACTGCTTTGGCTTTGACACTTGATCAGACTTGCTATGATGAAATACTCATCTTTTACAGCTGGCATAGGTTAAGGGCAACGCAGGTTACCCACTGGCCGACTGCGAATGCGGAAGAAGGAGCAGTAAAGCATGTCGTATGGTCTTTCCCAGTTGCTGAACATTTCAAAATGCATTTCATAAATGTAATTATCGTAAATGCAGTGCAACTGCTTATCCCTGCTAAATGAGATCATCCTGCTGCAGAATTAGTTCTTTTCCTGTTTATCCGTGGCTTTCGTACTGCCGTATGCTACCGAGTATGATAAGGCTGTTTTATGTAATATTTCATCCGCCTTTTCAATATTTTTACAATCGAATACCGTGTTTTATATGACATTGGCCTTTGTGAGCTGTTTGAATTCCTGCGTCAATCACAGCGCGTACACTGATTTGCTAACCAATATACATGACGTTTACCATCTCTGCACACAGTTCAACCGCGTTTTTTCGTTTTCAGAAAAAAGATGCAGCAAGTAGGCGAAATATTTCATAAAACAGTGACCATTAAGGGTAGTTCGACCCCAGGCTAGCATTAGACCACACCAATGGACTGGTGGCTGCATGGCAGCCAAAAGAGCGCATCGCAACAACATTTGACCTTGTGACCTGTCATCCCGGGTCGTTGGAAGGTCGGTCTATACATCTGCCTTACGTGCGCCTTCCGTAAGCCGAGCACTCGGTAATTCCAGGCGCGCATTTCAGTCCAAAAAATTGTCAAAAAATTCACGCCTCGAGTTTCGTTATTGCACAATTCATAACGTGCCCCATTTGTACGGTTTTCTGCCACGACGGTGACATTATCGCCGTGTTCAATGTCTACGAATAGCTGAGATTTTGGAAAGCAGCATCTGGTACGGAGATAAGATTTTTACCGGTTGTGACGACGGTAGTTGAGCTTCAATTATCCTCTCCGGTGGTATTCCCCACAGGTCTGCATCCGATCGCCCGTCTGCTTTCGGACTTGATAACGAGGCATTTATATGGATTACTGCCGATTCGCCGACGTCCAACCATACAAATTGCTCAGCAGTTTTGGGCTTGCCGTAGAAGTGGGCACAGTGATCATGCCAAATAATTGTTTTATCGGGAAGGTATATGCTGTCTTCTCTACCCTGTGAAGTATGTGACGTTATCCTCTACCCAGGGTCTGACGTTACATGGTTTGGTATCACTGTTCAAACCCCATGTACCACGCACCGGTCACTACCGGGATGTTTTTATACACTCAAGCCACTTTCGGGTGAGGGATGCTAGCAGATGTAAGACCACACATTGAAAGATCTGGGGTGGGTATTAAGTCTATGGCACGCATCATATCGAAGCAAAAATGCCATTGAGAGTCCAGCACAGCAACCATTGTGAGTAAAGGGTCAAAATGCGCGCTTTCCTCACCTAATACTGATTTTCAAAGTTCCGAAGAGTTATGGTGAAAATGTTGACTTGACTCTCGGATCGTGCAACCATGGTTTAATTAAATGAACATAGGTCTTTGACCCTCCAGTTAGAGGAATCCGTTAGCTACTCCTCAAGTAGGATCGTGTAAGTAGTGATGAGCGGAAGCGACGTCGGAAGCTGGACTACAGTCAGCGCAACCGTAACGCGCTATCTTTGATGTCAGGTAACGCCGCCCAAAATCTCAGCAGCTCATTGGTCGAAAAATAACGACGAACTTAGCGAATCCAGCGAAGTAGTCAGGTTGATGGAGCACCGGAAGGATGCTGAGAGCCCGCGATGAATTCCGAAATAAGACGCGTGTCTAGAGTGACCACAGTGTTCACCTTTCGGATGGTGCGCCTCATGTTAGCTGTACATTGGTACCAGCTCCACGGAACGCGTCGGCCGTGGGCTGCGGCCAGCGGGGGGGGGGGAGGGGGCACCGCCGGCGGACCGGGCAGCGGCGCGGCACTGCGCGCGCGCTCCGGCAGCGGCGGCGGCGGCGGCGGCGGCGGCGGCGGCCGGAGCGCAAAGCCGCCAGTGGTGCGTCGGGCGGGTGACGGCCGTGTGCAGTCGGCGGAGGGCTCTGTCGACGCCGAGCGGCGCTAGCCGGATCAGCAGATCAGGTCAGGTCGGGTCAGGTCAGGGACGGAGCGCCGGCCTGGGGCTCCGTGCCCCGTTGTTACGCCGACGACCCTACCACGCGCTGGCGCACCGGTCTGTCGTAGGAGCGTGCTGCCAGGCGCGTGAGTTCAGAAGTCAGAGGTCAGACGTGCCACCGGCTCCCCGGGGTCAGCATTCGGCCACGAGCCTGCCCTGAGGGGGCCCACGGGGTGCCGCACGGAGTTCTCAGGTCATGTCCGGCCCGGCTGACCTGCTCAGGTTCGATCACGACAGAGCCACGGAGATCACGACAGGTCAGGTCATGACGGCAGGTCACGACTCGGCGGAGCGTGCGGCGGACCACGGCTCTGAGCGACGGACGTCACGGTCCTGGTGGCTACCTGGCCATCTTCACCTGGATCGGGAACACGAAAAGACACCGAGTAACGCGGGAAACGTCGACTGCGCAGTGCGTCTGTGCAGTTATTGTGCGATGTTTGAAAGTGGCTACAACTGATGTAAGGAGGCTGCTAGCATGTTTTTGCTGTGCCCAAGAATCCATCGCTGGTTGTGGAAGTCGCTGACTAACAACTACTTCGTATGATGTGGATTGGTCTTAATCAAACCTGCTGAGATGCCGGAGCCTTCAGCATCCCAATTTGTTGATAAACCAAAATCAATATTGCAGCAGCGCGTTATACAAAGCTGCCGTACATTTTTAACCGGGATTTCAGGGGCCCGACGGGTGTCTGGTTGAGGCATATTTATGCTGTCGTTTGGCGTTTACCTTGAGGTGGAACCGGAAGTGATTAAAGGTCCGTTTACAGTGAGCGGGTGGCATCTTGCTTTTGTATTTTCAGACTACCAAGCATGTCTGAAGTTGCGCGATCGCCGTTCCGACAACACCCGTTACCCCTGCAAGTAAAAAAGAAGATAGCTCATACACTGCCGGATTTTTACGCTTGTTTCGTTGAACCTTCATATAAATTTGTCCTGGTTTCTTGTTGCGACCTGTATGCGATCTGAATGCTGTATGCATGTTATATTGATTTGTATTTACGTATGCGTATTAGTACGTAATAATACGTATTTTGCGTATTGACGTCTACGCACACATGTGCGTATTAACACTCACGTACATATTTATCATGGTTTCTTGCTGTCGCGATTAAAATGCTGTATGTGCGTTAGATTGATTTGATGTATTATATCAGCAAACTGCGTCGACCGACACAGCCTTTTTCAACAAAATTCCGTTGTGCGGCTAGGTGAGATTGCAACCTTCCAACCACCTTATGAATTTCCAGTGAAGCAACTCTTTTATTCTCAGCTCGTTTGAAGACTAGCGAGAATGTCGAGGCGGTCATTTAAGAGAGATGCTTACATAATGATGCATATGGGTCCTGAAAAGTCCCGGGTCATAATC